GATTGGGGGCGTGGCAGTTGGGATTCAATGGAGAGAAGACATAAACGCCGGGCAACATTATCTCATAGCACACATGGCGTCATCTTCAATAGAAGGCTTGGCCTCGCTTTGTTTTTGCTGTTTATTACAAATTTAACGTCAAATACATAATCTATACTAATATTTGTGACTGTCGTTTGTCTGTCTGTCTGTCTGTCTGTTCGGGGTTGGCGGCTACACAAGGTCTGCCCCGAGTCTGAAATTTGGGGTATATGGGTAGCTCGGACCGGGGAGTAACATAGGCTAGGTGGCGTTAGTCTACCACTTCCGGTTTCGGAGTTATGACCCCCGAGCGAAGCCGGGCATTCTGCTAGTATATGATATTATGGACCTATTGATTTAATTAAATTATTTACATATGAAGGAGTAATATACAGAACATGGGTAAAAACACTAAAAATAAGAAAGAAAATTTGTATATCAAAAAGTCACTTTAAAACACAATTTTAAAATCGCTGTCGTGAGAAGAGGGGGCCGATCATCTTCTCACTGTGTCACAATGAAAACACGTTAAAACGGGAGGTCCAGCTGTTGGATGTTTTAATGTGGAAAAGCGAAGTTCTCGCAGTAAAAATTACATAGCTGGACCCCTGGGGTATTTACATATAAAAAAGGATCTCGCTTTAACTACGTACATCTTGTCGATACCACCATAATTTGGCACTAATTTCCATTGGGTATTCACACAGCTTGGGAGCCTATCAGATTCCTGGATCATCGCGAATACCAAGTCTTGCGCTTTCAAGCTAAAATGTCTACCTGTGATAATCGAGTTGCAAAGTTCAAGGTTCGTTCAATGTCAATTGTTTCCGTGGAGGTCGCAATGTCACAACCTCTGATTGACGCCACTGTTCACGTGTCTGCAAATACCATAGTTATAAGTTCTGGAATTGTTAAGTAATCTCGCAACGTCCAGATGTTGTAATACTCGCGGTCGTTGCTTCAGGAACATGACAAGGCGTAAACCAGTCTTCATTAGCACAGTTGGTTCTTCAAAGTAGGACGTTAAAACCCATTTCAGTTCTTATGCTATTTTAAACGTTTCCCCGGTTGTACGTGACAAGGAGTAGGATCGACCCTCCAACCTCGTGGGTTTTCTCAGTGTCCTCCGATTTTCTCCCACTGCTAAATACCCCTACGTGCATGCGAATTATTGAAATAAAATTGAACCATATGTTAGTCCCGAAATGACCTAGATTGTGTCGAATGGACGTTAAACCCCATTTTTCTCTCTGTGTTATGTTAAACGTTCATCAAGACTTCAAATAACAATAAAAAGACGATCCCTCACCATTATAGGCCTATACATGTTTCTTTGTAATTATAAGTTGATTCACACCACTCTTAGATTAATTTGTAATTAACTACACACGCCGATTTGTATTGGCAATAATTTGATGCATAGATAAAAATGTCCAGATGGCGTGTTTGTTTTCCTTTAGTTAATACTAAAATCAGACAGCAACCTTTCCCATCGCGCCAAACCTGGCCATAATATCGCATCTATTGTTCTAATCATGCAATGAATTTAATGAAATAAAATGAAATGGGGTTTAACGTCCTACTGTTAAGCACCCACTGGGCTAATGAAGACGGGCATGCAGTGTGCTATGAGGGATATTTTGCCCGGACAGCGGCCTTACGAATTCCAAATGTCAAAGGTTGTTTTACGTGCACGCCAATGTGTACACGGGACCTCGGTTTGTCGTTCCACCCGTGCGACTATACATTGTCCCTGTCCAGGCCCTCCGCCATGCACCACTAACAAGGAGAACAACGCCGGAAAAACACGGGAGCTCCAGGTTAGCGAGCTAAACTCTTACGAACTGAGCCACCACGGTTCCCGCGTCTTAATGAAATTTAAGTTACAGAGAAAATCTCTTCAAGACAGACGATTAATGTTACATTATTATTCATTTTTCTCAACTATCCAGGATAAATATGAATACAGACGAAAGATAAATGGGGTTTAACGGTCACGCAATTCAACTGATTCTTTGAATATATTTCGGTAATTGGGCAAGGAAATTGTCTCCGCTTCGACATCAAAGACTAATGATCTGGAAAATAGCGACATTTGTAACAATCTGGTTGTTAACGTGTGCAGTTTACGCAGTGGTTTATGGGAGGCATTGTCTCAATTCATCAGTAAACGTTGCTTTAAACAGAAGGTGAAGGTCATTTTCCTCTCCGTATGACCGTTTATGGTGGCAGAGAAAATTCCGGTGTGATTTCCTCTTTACGGTTTTGCAGGGCAGACAGGGAGCCTGACAAGAAACGGTGTCTGTTCGTTCGGATAGGACGGATAACCGCGGTCCTGTATATACTTTGGCGTGCAGGTAGAAGAACCCTCGACAGTTGAAATATAAAATAAGAGTAGGTCCTTATGCCGCTGTGGGGACAAAATTCTCTCATAGTTCACGATATGACGTATGCTTGTACTTTTTGGCCATGTACAGGAAACTAGGCCATTAAATCCCACTTCATTCGACCTAATTTGACACTGTATATAGAACGGACGTTTTCTTATTGTCCAGGCCAATATTCGTTTTAATCGAAGCCGAAACAATTGGGACTAGAGCGACCGGGACTATCACGAGGCATATCCTTTATGCCATGAAGTAGCATGCACATAGAGTCATTTAACTGCGAGAGGAAATAGCATAATATTAGATCACATGTTCGACCTCGGTTAAGCTGTTCTTATTGGATAATTTAGCATAAATCGACACATTACTAAAACATATAAAAAAAGAAGACGCCACTTTAAATATTAAAATTTTATCTCATGATGAATGTCTAAGTAATGACAGTTCCGGAGAAAATCACATCAAAATGGAGCGTTTATGGTATACGGAATTGATTGAAGACGATTCACGACCACAACCTCTACACAAAACTAATTGAATGGGAATTCCCCCAGATACTTCCTATACGGTTTTCATTATGGCTTATAATTGAAAATACTGAGGCGTTATAGTTCATTTCCCAGTTATCTTAAATTAAAATGTCTCTTAATCTTCGTTATGCAAATCCAATTTCATCGCTATTGGATAACCAAAAAACGCATAGATTCAAATTAATTTCGACGGAAATTTAATATGAAAAACGATAAACAAAGGAATCTAATATTCTTGGGAACCATTTTGCTATATTTCGCCACGTAAATTATTTTCTGTATTTTTAAAGGCATGGCAACTCTTCTTAGCTTAATCAAATTTAAAGTAAAATGAATCGGATGAAAAGATAAACTTCGATTTTCAGTTTTAATACTCTGCATGAAATCTCAACTGTGTACACGAGGTCGCGGTTTTTCGTCTCATCCCAACTACTAGACACCGTTTCGTTCCAGGGCCTCTGGCTCAACATATCGAAGACAACTTAAACAGGCATAATGTAAGAGCTAAATCTAAAGGTCTTTAGGCCTTAAATGTTATCTAAATTATTAATTAGACATTAATTACCTTACCAAAACCACAAACAACTGTCGATGCCAACGGATGCTGGAGATTTTCAACTTATTTAAATATGATTGACTGTTGATTAATTAATTTAAAAGTGGATAACCGAGACTTTGTTAATTATCTTAACAACAGTAGCAATTCCAATCGAGGCTACACTGTTCTAACGCTGATCACTTGGCTAAGAGTGAAGTAATTTTCGTGAAATTTTCAACATATTCCCTTTTCATTATCTGTTTTCAATTAGTAAAGCGGGAACTGTTAGCTGTTTATCTAACTTTACATACTGCATCTTTAAACACTTTGCGTTTTGCTAACAGTACGCTGGTTAACATTACCTAATATTAGAGAATGCATATTGTGACACGCTCTCTACAGTAGATGTCTTCTGAATTCAAGACTGGATCGATGCCTCTCTTTACGAATATTCATTCGAGATTATTGCCCATATTACCCTCGATGACTTCTGCAGTCTAAACAGGATATGATCACTTCTTTTAGATTGGTATTAGCATTGTCTTCTATTTTGTAAGGTCATAAAAGAATAAAGTAATGTACCAATTTCACACAGAGTAAAATATCCAAGCTGCATGTGTAACTAATTTGTGGAGCCCCCATAAAAATATTGGATAACCAAAGGGCAATCACAACAATTTAGCTCGCCACATCAGTCCTCCATCTACTCCGTTGGATCACAAGATCTGTCATTGAGCCATGCGACGTGGTTTCGATTCTCCGCTTGTAAGTGACAAGGAGTAGGTTCACCTGTCCACCCCCGTGCGTTTTCTCCGCCCCCCCCCCCCCGCGCGCTTAAAGACCTCTACCCGCAATCGAATTATTGAAATAAAATTGAAACATGTTAGTCTCGAAATGACCTAATTTGTGTCGAGTGGACGTTACCCCGCCCCTTCTTACTTCTTGCAGGCAATAAAACTGTTACGTCTCTATATAATAAGCTTTAATTGTTACGTGTAGCTTGGATTGTGAGGAACTAATGACCTGATCTGATTGGCATATAACAGAGATTTAAAAACATTCTGTGTATTCGTACCAATACTCCTGATGTATTGATTATGGAAAACGGTTCCAACATGTTTAATATCACAAGATGTTGTAAAAGAAATTGTATTGGATACACGTACACGTACATTCTCTCTCTCTCTCTCTCTCTCTATATATATATATATATATATAGCTAAATAGGCATAACGATTTATTTCGCAGAATACTGCACCAAGTCTATACTGCGAACCTAAGAACTGCACCACAAAATCAATATGCAGATTGGCTAATTACTTGATTTTCAGAGAAAATAAAAATAATTCTAAACCATGTTTCATAATGATAACATGTGGCATATAGACGGATTTATGGAGCCATGCATACGCGATAACAGGTGTCTGTTCCCCGGGGAAAATAGGACAATTTAATGTAATCAGATTAAAGGGTTCTTGAGAGTGTTGGATTAACCGTCAATGATCAATATAGAAAATAACTTACTTATGATCCAATGAGATCTAAAGTTGTATAAACAGGTGGTCAGAGCTTGGAATAATCCTGATAATGCTAGTAGAATAAAACTCCAATTAGTTGCAAAAATAAACCATTTCCACGTCTGTCCGTTATAAAAAGTCCTAGTTTCGTACACGACGTCTGCTATCGCCCAACCTGTTAGCACCACAGCAGCAACTATTCGATATAAGGGGTAGAATTTAGGGTGACCTGGCCACTGTAAAAGACAAAAAGAAACTTTCATTAATAATCAGTTGATAATTTGATTGCTGTATCTCCCTTAGGCATTCATTATTCATAAAAGCGCACAGTAATACAGTGGAAAGTTGGAAATTGAAAAAAGTTGTTTGGTCGAAGAAATCTGAGTTTCTATGGAAACTATGGAACCATTCCCAAAACAGACGGGGTTTATAAAAAGACTGATGCTAACGATAATGAGAGGATACTATTTATATTATGTAATTCATTCACAACGTGAGAACTTTTTCTTGTGAGATTATTTTTTGCAGCGCATTAATAATAAGCATTTTGGATTTAATTATGAGCAAAATTGTCTCAACATGAAAATAAATGTTAGTTGCATTTTGTTTCTTTTCGGATGACTTTAATGAGAGAGAATTTTTTTTTCGGCTTGTATCTGTCGCTACTTGCTGTTCATTTACCATAAATATCGAAGTCAACTTTTCCGCCATTTAATCGCTTAAGTGCTATCCTTTCGATCAACACATACGAAGCCCCAGAGCCTGATTAACCTTGTGAGGGACTCTGGACAAATCAATGGGGTGGGGCTGAATTAATAACAAAAGCGTAGGGTCTAGTCCACGGTCAGAGTGTGGAGGTCCTCTCCCAGAAGATTTTGAAATATAGATGCGATATGGTGCATTCTGGAATATTTGATCTTGTACTCAACACAAAATGTCCTCCCACCTCAAACTGTAGATCGGATACTGTGAGGTACTGGTGGGTAGGGTGCGAGTTAGTGACGCCCTTGCATTTTTGTCCTGTTGGCACCCAATGAGTATTTGTCATGGACTCCAGTATTTTCCTAGTAAGATCGAGTGTCTATGTTTTCCATATATACCAAATATGCCATACATTTATTGGAAATAACTAGCCGATAAATACTTTAGTGGGAATTCATCTTTTAATGTGTTTCTATGTACTTGCGTTGTTCAGTCTGTTTTATTAGTTATCAGCAACGAAAGCTCGCATATACCAATACATACATCTATTGACAATACCATGGTCTATGCCGGAGCATGTTTATAAACCATTTCTACAATTGATTTTAAATTTAGTCTCCAACAAAATATCTTTTGAATACTTAATGGGGTAAGTTAAGTATAAGCGTCTAAGTGTTTTTGTCACGATAATGGGTTAATCTTTCTCTCGGTAGGTTCGGGATTCAAGTTGTCTGGTTTTTATGGTGTTGTTCTCGTGGCGAATCAATGGGACTGGTTTAATATAAAGTGTGGCAAATCTGTAGAATACAGATCTTACTACATAATTGGCTCCTTTTCCGCAAGAAGCTTCAGCTTCTAAAATCCATTTCTAACCAGTGATGGGTGTCGTACAAGAAGCAGGATATGCTTACTCTTTTACAGCGCCAAATATCACGTCTCATGTGAAGATTTATTACGTCACTCTTGTAATTTTTTTTTTGCTTTTGATTATGAGTGAAGTCTGTTTTAAATTACAGACCCGGGAAGTGCCGCCGACATGCCACCACGCAAGAGATTGAGGCGGGAGTCCTGCCATTTTTAACTTGACACAGAGATGCACACCCTTCAACTGCCAGAGAGAGAGAATGATGCTGAGGCCAAAATGATTCATGGCAAATGTTCGGGGGACATTTCCTGAAGATTTGTGACCTTGGCCGAGGCACCAGTGAACGTTCATCTGATTATCCTCGATGCCTAATAAGTGCTATTGCTCATGGGACTACACCCTTGTTTGGGGCAAAAACATCGAGATCATCGGGAACCATCGGAAACAATGTGTTTATTTCCACATCGCCCAGTGGAACCTAAGCATAAACAATAATGTATAATGCCGAGGAACTTTTTCCGCCAACATCGGGATCGAACCCTGGACCAAGGTCCTACTCACTGAGCCACAGAAACTCCTTCGTGAAAATGGATATCGATCGGAACAAAGATGACAAACATACACATTTCATGAGACCTTAAGGACTCACGATCTTTTTTGTCTACGTGATAAATTACATTGTTCAACACAGATGTTCAATGTGGAAATATTTATTACTGCACATCAAAACTGTTGAACATATCAAAAGACAATTATTGTGATTTTAAACAATAAAAAACACAAACATTTTCCTTTTAAATGTGTGGCATTTCATGTTTAACAGTAATTTAACTACGCGAAAGTTTTATAATTGTTGGTCTACGTTTATTTAAATAGAAATTCGATGGAATAGAATATAAAAATAGATCTCCGCGAGTTAATGTCACAGTTTTACATAAGAGGAGAACCATGGGAATTTCAAAACGATTAGCGGCTAATCTAATTTACGAAAATCGATCAAAAAATGATTTTAAAGCAACGATTTATTTTTTTAACGATGAATTATTGAATTTGCAATCTATTTATTTTTTTAAAACAGAAGGAAAGTCGTCAAGTTTTGTTTTATTTGATAACAGCAATCATGCTTCAGATGAAAGGAGTGTCGGTTAATAGCATTTCAGTAACAAAAAAAAAGACGAGACAAATGAAAGTAAATAAGTTAAATTTTCTATGTAAATTAAACTATATATATGCGTCTTCTTTCAACCGAATTGGCCAACAAATCTGAGCGTGTGTAATCAACTTATCATTCTTAAAAGATTTTTTTTCCAACTAAATTTAAATAATATTATCATATTTAAAATAGTTCTATACATAAATACATTAATATACCCTAACGTGGCATGTGTTGTCTATCCTGTTCTTAATGCCTTCAAATTCTACAATATCTTATGATTTTACCCTATACTCAGCCCAATCTGATTAAAATGCAGATCTATATTTCGTTTCGTTTTTTTTTTATACTTTAGATGGCCTACACTACATCAAGATCTGACCGGTTGTTGCGATAGGTCACGTCAGAGGTCATACGAGCGGCTTTTGACCCTTTGACGTCAGACATTTGATTAACCAGTCAGCATTGATGTTACTAGTGGATAACCCACAGTTCCGTGCAAAACACGCCTAAAGCCCGCCGTAACAGACCGTTTCATTGGCTAATAACTCACACTATTCAGAACACGTCAATAATAACATCTCTTCAAAATCCCAGTGTAGTAAAGACAAGTAAAACGAAATTTTGAACCATAAAAACGAAACGAAATACGATCTGTGTTTTTATCAGATTGTACCCAGCCAGTTGTCCTTCAGTTACGTAAAAGGATAGTAGGACTTTAAATGTTATTTCGCCGAATTATCGAAAGCCAATCACTGATCTACAGTATTTTTAACTCGTTTAACGCCCCCCCCCCCCAACCACTAATCATTTGTGAGACTAATAAACCGAAAGCTAAAACGTGCAATTTGTCTCAACGTTCCTGCAAGGAGGGTTGTACCGGAGAACTTCTAACTATCCTGTCTGTTATATGCGTCAAAATTGCAGATACAGACACGAATTACCCCAATGGGTGGTTTTGTCCTCTACTGTGGTTTGTGAAGAATACTAACTACACCCTGTTGAGAAAGTCATCTACACCAATAAGTCTAATGAAGACGCGCATACACCATCCATGCAAACAAGTCTGTCCTGAAAGAGATGATTCCGCCTATACTCTTCTTCGAATTCCAACGCACATTTATCATTTTATGTGCACTAGTTCATGGGTGTTCCACGAAGTCCATTGTCTGAAGGTGATGGTGTGTCGCCACCCGATCTGAGAATTTACAAAATTCAGTTTTTCTAGATTAATTTTGGAGCAGATTTCTATAATGTGTGTTGATCAAGCGATTCTGGTGACAAACACATAAATAATATAGTGAACTGGTAAAAAGGTGTAAGGAACACCTGCTTCATAATCTAATATAAAACTGTCCAAGAGCCGTGACAACATTTTCAATTTGACAATTTAGATTAATTGTACAATGGGTGTGCCAGTGTGAGTAAAATACCATTTATAACCAAGGGCAGTCTTTAAATAATTTTTTCAGAAAAGGTGATGACGGTATCAAAATATTTCATTACTATCAAACCCCTAACGGCATAAAATAATTGTTTTCAGTGACAACCTAAATAGGCATTGACGTTTCCGATATCAAAATTTATCATTCCCATCAAACACCTAAAGGTATAAATTGATTTAGGAATATTTTTGCAAATAAATGTTGTTTTTAAAAGCCAAAGCTACTGTTAGGAAACGATATTGATAGCTATAATATGCCTGTTGTCGTATCCTTTATACTGTAACTATTAGTTATATAACTGTAAACATTGCCTGTCTAATGGTAGAGTAATAGGTGTCGATAAAGAGAGAGAGAGAGAAATGGGGTTTAACGTCCACTCGACACAAACTAGGTCATTTCGGGACTAACATATGGTTTAATTTTATTTAATTAATTCGCTTGCGCGTAGGGGTCTTTAGCAGTGGGAGGTGTCGATAAAGCTACAAGGTATATTAACAATAAGTAACAGCTGTAGATATTGATAAGAACATTTTAATCTTTGTATATTATATGTCAGTAGCTATTCTATTATCGACCTCGTTGAAAATGGTGAAAACTATGATGACCTGACAGTAACAGGTGAATGCATCACCACCAACAGGGCTGTAAATTATTCTCTTTGTCGTCCATCATTACCGTTATATTTGGTCAACCGACATTTACCACGATGATGTCTGTCGCGCGTTTAGCATTATGAAATGAAATAAAATGAAATGAAATGAAATGAAATGGGGTTTAACGTCCTACTGTATCATAAAGTCTGTCATTGAGTCAACTGGCGTGGTTTCAAATCCCTGGTTGTACGTGACAAGGAGTAGGGTCGCCTGTCCAACCTCGTGGGTTTTCTACGGGTCCTCCGGTTTCCTCCCACTGCTAAAGACCCATACGGGCAAGCGAATTATTGAAATAAAATCAAACCATATGTTAGTCCCGAAATGACCTAGTTTGTGTCGAGTGGACGTTAAACCCCATTTCTCTCTCTCTCTCTCTCACGTCCTACTGTTCTGCTACTAATTATGTTTTTCGAAACAG